GTGCAGATTGAGAGTGAATCATCCGATTGACTCTGATCAGTTTTATTAGATTTAAAACATTAGATTAGTCCGAAAATTCCTGAATTCATCTGAAGACTCAAGTTAGAGAGGGGGCCGTGTAGGGCCCAACAAATTCCTTAGGTGGAGGGGGTGGGGGGTCTGAGGGGGGGGGGGGATTATAGGCCATTTATTCACTATGTAAAATGATAACAATTGTGAAAGTAGGAGGGCGTAGGAGGGCAAAACCGGGCCAGCATCTTTTCTCGGGGCCACTGCACTGTATATCAGGGTCACTGATAGCATCAATTTACACCGTTCTAATTTTCAAGCGGACCTCTGTGGGTAGACAAAGCTGCTATTGATGTATGAGAATCTTTGCGATATATGCCTTGACTTTATTATGCTCTATTCTTGCATCACGAAAGTTTGTAAATTTGATTGGACTATATGCTAGCGAATTCGCCAATCAGAGACATTAACAGAAAGTTTAACTATAATGTATTTACATGAAGGGCTCTGATTCACTGTATTCGCTAGCGTACAGTCCAATCAAATCGCTCCATTCCGTGATTCAAGAAACGCAGTTTGTAATAGCTTGACTTTGAGAAAATGATCTGAGAGGTCAAATATATATGCAGAGACAAAACCAAGAAAAGAGAGGGTTATTCGGACTACGTCAGAATAAAACATATGATTCACTATTGCACGTGCTATTAGCTAACAAAAACTCTTGGGTCGCATTCGACACTACGTTCTGGACAACATGAGAATAGATTATTAAACTGCTCATTTTTGGAAACTCAAAACAACCAGCCACGAACTAATATGGCGAAAAAAAAAATGCTTTCCCTTTCTCTCTGTGACAATGGGATAACTCAGTCGGTAGCGAGTAACATTGTCGTCTGCTAGGCGATTAGGATCCGATTCCGAAAGCCGGGCCGGTGTCGACTTTTACCCCTAATACCTTTCTTTCTTTGTGTATTATGCATATATTATTTTAAGGATCGAATTAGCACGTTTTGTAACAGATTTGTATTTCTGGGACTGGAAAACAAATTGATTATTAGCTACGGTCCTGCTTTGTTCTCATTCGAAACTCTCTTCTTCCGCCCCAGAGGTTTCGAGAACGTAGTTTCGAATACCACCTAATATATTACGAGGTAGGTAAGGGATAGTCTGCTTTAGATTGTTACTGATGGTAAGAGGAACAGGTGTGTGAGTTATTTTCTATATGGTTATGTACTTTTATGGGGCTGTTATTTCAGTTCTGTTAAAAGAAATGTAGAAATAATTCGAAAACCTTTTTTTTTTGCATTGCCCGGACAAAAGTATTTGCAATGGTTGTATTTTAATAAACGAAATCTGATTGTTTCTCTGAAATTTTAACTTGGCTTCAGTAGATTTGGTATCAGTTTATGAATGTAATGTTTGAATATAATGTTGATATTTTTATCTGAACAGGTTTAGTAACATGGTCCAGTTACTTCCATTATTACTTCTTGCTGTAAGTTACATTTAATATCTCTATATTTTTAAAACATGACTTGCACACTGTTGATATTCTCAATAGACTTTAAACCCAAACAGGTGGAAACTTACTTGCCACTAAATAAACTGTTGGTTCCCATATCAATTATAGCCTCAACATAAAGGACTGAACATTATGGCTTATTGCAAACATACTTTCTGTCGAGGGCTCTGATTGGCTGTATTAGCAAAATTACAGTCCAACGAAATCGCTGAATTTACAAACTGCAACGCAGAAAAGGTGACTACTGCAGTCAAGGTATAGGTTTAAGTTATTATTTAGTTATTATTTGGTAATATCTGCCATCATGGAAGACGAAAATGCACTTTTAAAACCTTTTTAAGACGCCTTATTGTTTTTAGATTGTAGTAGAAATCGAGAGTTTTTCTTTAGTTAAAGACACTAGCAGTATAATAGATGGTAAGTATTGAAACTCAGAGGGACAGAATCGCAAGTTTAGGTGTTTGATTTGGCGGTGAACTGTGAACACTATTACTGATTGGCCTACCTAAAATATTGCTGTTTCTGAGACTAAGATACGATTGGAATAGAGAATGAGCATCTTTCCCTAACGTTCAGTTACTTGATATATTCTTCCATTTTGAATTTTTTTCACGGGTATCTAGTTTCGTGGGGCGCATGCGAACATTTAATGGTAGACTGTTTTGGGTTCTGCGTTTTGGGGTTCTGCGTTTTGAGGTTCTGCATTTTGAGGTTCTGTAGCACAATTCCAATTGGCCCAGCTGTAATCCTAAATGGCTACAGATAATCCGGGAAAAATCAGTGACAGCTGGTGGAGAGTATCCGAATGGCTCTTGCTATCCTTGTAAAATATAGTTCTCTATTCGTAGGTGTTCGTGGGGCACTTTTCATTTCGATACCGCCTTCAAATTTCAATTTTATCGGTTTGCAATGTCTTGAATAAAACGTGGCCTTTATTTTCAGTAACTGTCGACTGTGGGGCTAATGAAGCAGCGAACAGTGCAGTATTAAATATCCTGACAGACGTAGATATATCGGCTATTGCTAAATGTAAAAATGGTGAAAAGTCGTTTATTACCACAGATTCTGTACATTACACTCTACCAGCAACCTTAACAACTCGTGATAACCTCTGTGAGTTAAATGTAAGTAACCAGTAAGGTTTGAAAGCAATAAGGTATCCCAACTTTACTGACGAGGAACTTTGAGGAGTCGGTATTGGTTTTCAAATTTGAAAAACTATTAATTTTGAAGGATATCTGTATCATTTTAACTCATATCGTAATTTATTTCAGCAAAAAGATGGGTCTGATAATTTTGATATTGAGGTAGAGGTACATTACGGTGAATTGGATGGTTTGATTCTGACTAGAACTAAACTGGTTACTGTAGTGTGTACTTATTCTGATCATGGTAAAGATGACAGTGGTCAACATTCTATAAGAGATGGGTTGGTTTACTATCTACAATTTACACACACTGTTTTCCATGCTCTCTATACAAGCGAGACAATTCCGTTAATCTAAAATCTCGTTCATAAATTTGCAAAATCAGGAGTAAAGGTAGTAGAGTAATGGACTCCTTCAAAGAGAAGTTTTCCATGCTGTCAATGTGTAGCAGAATAATGGCAATTTCACTAATTTATTTTGTTTGAATACTTTTACATTGTAACACTGAATCGCTTTTATCAATAGCCCCCGTTCTTACCCACGGGTATTAAAACATCTTCTCCCTCGTTTCAGACCACAAGCATACATAGAAAAACAATCTATCGTTGGTGGATCTGTTCCTAAAGCTGAATTATCTTTAAGTATTCAAACAGTCGACGATCAAGATGCAGTTGGCTCGATTTCTTTCGATAGAAGATATTCCTTATTCGGTTCTTATACTGGTGCTCGTAAGTCTGGTTTACCTCCTGGGGTTGGTTTACCTACTGGGTTTGGTCTATGTACTGGTTTGGTCTATGTACTGAGTTTGGTCTATGTACTGGGTTTGGTCTATGTACTGGGTTTGGTTTACCTACTGGGTTTGGTCTATGTACTGGGATTGGTTTACCTACTGGATTACGGTTTACCTACTGGGTTACGGTTCACCTATTGATGTAATGGTATACTAATACCAATACTATATCGACTTTATCAAATATTATTTTCTTCTTTTAGAGCAAAATGTGGGATTGAAACCAGTAAGTTGTGATGCGATTTCAGACGATGGAGAACGTTACGCAGTATTAGTAGCTGGGTATGTCAAAAACCATAGCCCTCAGATCAAAAGCCACATTCAACCCGATTTAATGCTTATTGTAGTCCATCCGCAAATAAGTTTTTCAGACTAATCCCACTTGATCTCAACCGATTTTAACAAACATCTACCGTCAGTTCTGCTTAATCATTGCAACATATTCAGCTTTACGAACAATGTCGAGGATTGCCGGAAATTGTCGAGAGTTGCCGGAAACTGTCGAGAATTGCCGGAAACTGTCGAGGAGTGTATCTTAACATGGATATTTTGTTTTGTAGATGTGGTGATGGGTTTATATTTGACCGAACAGATGGTTTTGTAACAACTGGTAAAACATTTAGAAGCCCATATTTCTTTGCATTCCATTTGGCCCACAGTGGAAATTTGGCTTTTGATTGTAATGTAACCTTGTGTACTCCGAGCTGTGAAGGTGTAAGTAACTTCAGTCTTTCGGACTGATTCTCCTAAATATATAGTAAATTTAAAGCCAGAAGACATTCACATTTCCCGTTTTCTAGTCCTTGAATATCTTGATGCTATTTTCATCTAGTCTGTGGTTCTTAAGATCAGAGAAGGTAGTCCAGACATCCAGGTGTTGAGATTAATATGAACTGATGACGTCCGGAAAATGAATTATGTAATTCGGTAGTGTATTCCTTGAGGGTTTGATATGGACTGAAATGATTCGGTGCAGTTATAACACCCAAGGAACTCGAATTGCCTGCTTCAATGACCTCCATTTTATATTCTAGTCATCTTGTGAAACTGTTTGTGGTCCTGTGACTTCGTTTGTCATCCCAAATATTCAATTAGAACAATGTACTGGTAACAATAAATATCAAGACACCTGTTCGTTTATTTGTAATGATGGTTATGATAAAAGTGGTGTTGCTATATCTACTTGTGGTGCTGATGGGATTTGGACTGTACCCGACATCGCATGCCCACGTGAGTTTACCATTTTCTTCAGTTTCTTCAAAAACGCTTCTTAATCTTTCATGAATTGATAAATCTTGTTTCCAGAATTTGATCATCGTTAAGGAAAAGTCACAATTTTTAACATTTTTAATGCGTTTTATCCTCAAATGAAAACGTCCGGGAATTTAATTAAAACTCTATAGCTTAAGACGAGTATAATTCTAATGCTAGCCTCAAATTCCAAACTATACCTTTTATTCTATTGTACCAAATCAACTGTTCTCCAATGTCTTAACGAACGTTCCTTAAAGATTTAAATCGAATATAATTGGTATATATTTTAGCCAAAGATTGTGGAAGTCCTCCAACGGGTACCGCATCCACAGGAACTGCATCAAGTGGTACCACATACACACAAGAAGCAGACTATACTTGTAATACAGGATATACTGTAACAGCTGGCAAGGCCAAGATTGCGTGTCTTGATACAGGGACGTGGGATGTAGATAATATACTTGTTTGTGAACGTAAGTATTTCGATATTTACTTGTTTGCTTTTGTAATGCTTCAAATTATTCGAGCAGATCGGAAGAACTGACACGGGGAAAGGCGTTGAACTGTTCGAATGGGAATGAGGGTACAAAAAGGGGACAGACTGACTCCATGTGGTGGTGGGAGGGGGGGGGAAATAACTGTCGAGGCTGAATTCTAAACGCAGCAACGTTGTAGAGACGCTAGAGTCGCAGTCTCTCGTGGAGTTTCCGAAATGGTTTTGCTGAAAAAATTGAATTGAAATGGTTGAAAGTTGAATATTTCATAATGGTTGTTACTGTACTGCCAATTGATTTGAAATCAAGGCTGTCAGTGGGCGTATATTACTTTGTTTAGCAAGCTATCTTTAACATGTTTGAATCTTCTCCTTCTTTAGCTAAAGATTGTGGAAGTCCTCCAACGGGTACCGCATCCACAGGAATTGCATCAAGTGGTACCACATACACACAAGAAGCAGACTATACTTGTAATACAGGATATACTGTAGTAGCTGGCAAGGCCAAGATTGAGTGTCTTGATACAGGGACGTGGGATGTAGATAATATACTTGTTTGTGAACGTAAGTATTTCGATATTTACTTGTTTGCTTTTGTAATGCTTCAAATTATTCCAGCAGGTCTGAAGAACTGACAAGAGAAAAGCGTGTAACTGTTCAAATGGGAGGAATCCAGAAATTAGGGCTACAAAATAGGGGCAATCTGGCCCTATGGGGGGATAACTGTCGAGGCTGAATTCTCAACGCAGCAACTCAAGGGAGACGCCAAAGTCGCAAGTCTCTCGGGGAACTTCCTAAATTGATTTCCTGAGAAGTTTCGAAAAATTGAATTGAATTGGTTGAAGGTTGAATATTTCGTAATGGTTGTTACTGTACTGCAAATTGATTTGAAACCAATGCTTCCGGTGAGCGTATATTACTTTACTTAGCAAGCTTTCTTTAACAGTTTAAATCTTCTCCCTCTTTAGCTATAAATTGTGGAGATCCTCCAACGGGACCCGCATCCACAGGAACTGCATCAAGTGGTACTACATACACAGATACAGCGGATTATATTTGTAATGAAGGATTTGTAAGACAAAGTGGTAATTTACAGATTAGCTGTCTAGTTACAGGGAATTGGGATATAGCTAATATACTTGTTTGTGAAGGTAAGTCTCGACATTTACTTCTTCTGTAATCAATCTTGAAATTCTTAACAAACCTTAAAAGTGTTTAAATCTTGTGTCTATGATACCTTCTGATTTTTTAATATCAAAAATATTAAATATGAACTGTCAAATCTTGTGGAAGTTGCCATCCGATTTAAAGTTACCTTAGCTTCTTTTTCTTGTTAAAATCCATGTTTATTGTTTGATTAATTGATGTG